ATGTTCCTTGGGAGCAAGGATGGTGCGACTTTATCTCATGTACTTTGGACATGTTATCAGGGAGGACCAGTCCCCAGAGAAGGACATGATGCTTGGTAAAATAGAGAGTCAGCAAAAAAGAAGAGGACCCTCAATGAAATGGATAGACACAGTGGCAGCAATGTTTCACACATAGCAATGATCATGAGGATGGTGCAGGGCCACACAGTGTTTGCTTCTGTTGTACACAAGGTCATTATAAATCAGAACCAACTTTACAGCACCTAACAATAATGATATACTGAAAATGTATCTTGAGAATGCAGTTTTCAAGTGCATTTCTCTCTTAAGCCAGTTAAGTGAGATTCTGGTAGACATGTGTTATGCTAGACTTATTCATAAGGTTTTAAACCATGAAAACAGATGGGAAATGGTTCGATATTGTCTTGTTGACTGATACAAAGGACATTTTGAAAAGTTGATGATTTTCTCCATAATAGACTTAGTTTATGGGAGTTCTAGTGGTATACTGCCTAAGGCATTTGACTGCTAACCAGAAGGCTGGCGGTTCAAACCCACCAGCTACTCTCGGAAGAAAGGTTGGGCAATCTACTTCCATAGTGATGCTGGCTCGGAAACCCTAGGAGGGGTCACTATGAGTCGAGTCCGACTGACGGCACATAATAATAACAACAACAACAACAACCCCTAAAAGTTTACTTTCTTCAGAGTATCATCGAATATTTTTTCTCTTCCTGCTTTTTGTAAGATTGTGTTTTCCATAAAAGACTGCAACCATATCTCTCATCCATATGCTCTTCTCTTAATGTGACCTTGATATTCCTACCTTCTAGTGGTGGCATCAGTGTCTACTCCTATTGAAACTAGGTAGGTTATTGTGGCTGAAGTAATGCTGTATGGTTTCTGTAGCAATAAAATGCCATATATTTCTGCCTTGCTCTCTTGGGCCACTTACTCTTGGAATATAGGGACCATACTGTGAAGAAGACTAAACAGCCTATGCAGAGGCCCATTAGAAAAGAAACAATGGCAGGGCTACTCACCCAGCTTGTCAGCCATGTGAGTGAGCCATCTTGAAATGAATCATACCTTATGCTCCATATGGAGCAGAGAGAAGCTATCCCTGTTGAGCCCTCCCCAAATTGCAGATTCATGAACAAAATAAACAATCATTGCTGTTTTAAGCTACCAAATTATGGGGTAGTTTGTTACATAGCAGTGGAAAACCAGAACAGATTTTGATGCCTGAAACAATGTAGTAGTAAATTTGGGATCAGGAAGTGGGAAGAAGCCTAGAGGGTCTTGAGGAGGTGCTCACAGACACTTGAAGGAAAGTAAGGGACATATTATTGGAAGCTGGAGAAAGGGAGATTACTTTTATGTAGTTGTGGAAAGTTTGGCAACACTTGATTGCAGTAACTGTGGAAAATAAAAAATATATCTAATGAACTTGATTCTCTATCTAAGGTGATTTCCAGGCATGATATTGAAAGTGCCACCTGATTTCTTCTCACTATTTATGATACAATATGAAAGGAGAAAGAGGAACTAAAGAACAGACTGCTAAGTTGAAAGGAGTAAGAACTTGTTGAGTATAAAAATAAGACTGTTTCTTATACTCTGTCTTTCCAGACATCAAATGATTTTCAAATTAAGAAATTATTTCAAGCCAAAGATCAAATTCAGAGTGGAACTGTAAGATTCTTTAAGACCTCAGAAAGCTCTAAGGTGGTAAATCATAGAATGTTTCAGGCAGATAAAAAGTCCCTTTTTCTAAAGATCTTAAGGGCATGCCTTGTAGAACCTCTCTGTTAAAACAGTAGAACTTCAAAAAATCTTAAGGGTTTTCTCCCACAAGATCCTCACAGGGACCCCAAAGTAGAGAAAGCTTTATTCAAGAACATACATGATTTTAACTTTTACCTAATGGAATGGATTATAACTTCATAATTAAGAAACCTTTGAAAGGTTTCTTTAAGAAGGCTTTGAAAGAATCATACCCATACCAGCTTGTATGGAAAGGGTCAGAAACCACACACAATGAAAAGAGGCTTTTAGACCCCCCAACTTCCGTGGATGAGAAATCTGCTCAGCTATAAACAAAGGCTACTTTTTTGTAAAAAAAAAAAAAAGGAAGGATGAGTTAGAGAGGAACAAGAGAGCCTGGAGAGGAACCCACAGGGGGTAGGATGAGCACAAATCAAGGAACTGGTAGCATGTGCCTGTTAGATTTCTGAATTCCTGTGGACTAGTGACTGTTCAAACCCACCAGCCACTCCTCGGAAGGAAGGTTGGGCAATCCTACTTCCGTAGTGATACTGCCTCGGAAACCCAAGGAGGGGTCGCTGTGAGTCAGGGCTGACTTGACGGCACATAACAACAACAACAGTGACTGTTGAGTTCTTTCTTTTTTGCTCTTTTGAACAGGAGTGTATATAATGGTTACTCTATGCCCATTTCATCTTTGTTGATTATGTTTTGGGGAAAAACAACTTGTCTCTTCATTTCACTTATCTTTAGATTGAAATGAATAATTCTCAAGGAGCTATGCCCAAGTAATCACAATAGAGTCACATGACCTGAATGTACATGATGGAATCTTAGACTTTGCTCTGATCTCAAAGTCTGATCTTAGACTTTGCCCTGATCTCAAAGTCTGATGGGATGAGACTTTGGGGGACTGGGAGAGAGGAATAAATGCATTGTGGATGTGAATTATTGTAGCCAAAGGACAGACTATTGGCTATAATGATTCACAACCTTCCCACATGCAAAACACACTCTCACTTCTTTCCAAGACCCCCAAAGCCTTTTGCCATCAATTTTGATTATACTTTCCAGTGATGACAACAGCAGTAGCTCACATCCCACAAGTTCTTCTTAAAATGTGGTCTCATCACTGTTCTTATTGAGTGAAAAACCCAAAAACCAAACTTATTGCCATTGAGTTGATTCCAATTCATAGTGACCCCCGTTGGGTTTCCAAGGTGGTAAATCTTTTCAAAAGTAGATTGCCCCATCTTTCTTCTGCAGTGTGGCTGGTGGATTTGAACTACCAGTCTTCTGGTTAGCAGTCAAATGCCTAGCACTGTGCCACCAGAGCTCCTTTTTTTTATTGAGTAGTGGGACTTATCCTCTCTTACTGTACCTGCTTGGCGTTTGTGATTGCTTTTGACCAATAGAATAAGCCTGGAGTAGCATTATAGGAAGGAGCTCTGGTAGCATAGTGCCTAAGGCACTTGACTGCTAACCAGAAGGCTGGCGATTCAAACCCACCAGCCACTCCTCGGAAGGAAGGTTGGGCAATCCTACTTCCGTAGTGATACTGCCTCGGAAACCCAAGGAGGGGTCGCTATGAGTCGGGGCCGACTCGACGGCAAATAACAACAACAACAGCATTATAGGAAAGCGTTCTGGTGGCATGGTATCTAAGGCATTTGACTGCTGACCAGAAGATTGGCAGTTCAAACCCATGAGCTTTCTGAGTCTAGGTTACAATTATAGCTTACTTTTTCAAAGTTAGCAGCATAGTCTCACTCATGTCAGTCTTATAAATGTACGTCTATGACACAGTCTTATATAATGTAACTTAATCAATGAAATGACTGTCTCATTGGTCTCACGCAAGTCAAGGGGAGGGGATTGTACAAGCTGTGTGTGCCAGAGGGCAGAAATTTAGGGAGTGAATCTTAGAATTTTGCCTACCATAGGTAACTATAGGATTCTCCCTGAAAACTTTTAGATTTTTTTTTTAATCTTTTAAAATTGGAAAGTTTTCAAGAGTGCAATTCTCTATGTATCTGCTTTTATTCACTCCATTGGTTATTCAGTGAGCCTCATTCAGTCTGGCAACAGATGTCCTTCAGTTGTGGAAAGCTTTTTGTGTTTATTTCAGTGATGATTTCTTCTCTTTTATTTTCTCTCATAAAGCTGTTCATAAGGTTTATCTTTCACTAAACTTATTCAGTCTGTATGCTGAGCAAATCCCAAGAAGTTGGACTATATGAAGAAGAACACAGCATCAGGATTAGAGGAAGAATTATTAACAGCCTGCAATATGCAGATGACACAACCTTGCTTGCTGAAAGTGAAGATGACTTGAAGCACTTCCTGATGAAGATCAGTGCCTACAGTCTTCAGTATGGATTACACTTCAACATAAAGAAAATGAAAGTCCTCACAACTGGACCAATAAGCAACATCATGATTAATGGAGAAAAGATTGAAGTCATCAGGGATTTTATTTTGCTTGGATCCATAGTCCACATTCATGGAAACAGCAATCAGGAAATCAGGCATCATATTGCAATCTGCTGCAAAAGACCTCTTTAAAGTGTTAAGAAGCAAAGAGTTGAAGACTAATGTGCACCTGACCCAAGCTGTACTGTTTTCAGTCACCTCATATGCATGAGATAACTGGCCAATGAATAAGGAAGACCGAAGAAGAGTTGATGGACTACCAGATGAACACACAAATCTGTCCTAGAAGAAGTGCAGCCGGAATGCTCCTTGGAAGTGAGAGTGGCCAGACTTCTTGTCACCTACTTTGGTCATGTTGTCAGAAGGGACCATTTCTTGGGGAAAGATACCATGCTTGGTAAAATAGAGGGTCAATGAAGAAGGGGAAGACCCTCAATGAGATGGATTGACAGAGTGGCTGCAATGATGAGCTCAAGTATAGCAAGGATTGTGAGGCTGGCACAGGACTGTGCAGTGTCTCCTTCCATTGTACATAAGGTTGCTATGAGTGGGAGCTGACTTGACAAGACCTAAAAACAACAATATTCCTTTTAGTTGTAATTTCATGTTTACCTCCTTATAACACCTGTATGTTTTATATTTTTTAAACTATACAGGTACACTTGGAACATGAAACTTAGGAAATTATGAGATTATTTCTGTTAATGTTGTGACTTTATAATAGGAGTTAACTGGGTTTAAATCCAAATTTTGGGACATTATCAATTACGACATTTTGTTGTTTGTTTTTTTAAATGAAGACTGAAGTTGCTGAAGATCCTCAGCAAGTTTCGACTATTCATCTCCAACTAGGATTACCGCTGGTTTTTATTGTTAGTCAGCAAGTCACATACGAAGCTGATAGAAGGACTGCAGAATGGGTTGCTTGGCGTCTTCTGGGAAAAGCTGGAGTTCTCCTATTGCTAAGGTATCATAATATTGAATATTACTGTATGGTTAACAAAATACTGATTTTTTTTAACTTTTAAAATATGATAATCTATTCACTTGTAAATAAACTAAAATCGCTAATAGATTCTAATGTAGTTAGAAGTAGTTGCTATGCTAACATCTGTCCATTAATTATAAGCTTGATGAAAATAGAGAATTTTAAAGTTTACTGAAGATGTAGATTAAAATGGAAACTCGAATATCAGTCTGTATTTATATATAAAATTTCTCAGACTCACTAAATTATAATCTTTTTTCCTAAGTATTGTTTAAGAACTAATAATTCTGTTCTAAATTGACATCACGAATGACTATAATTCTTGTGAGTAGCAACATAAAACATTTATTTCTATTTTGAAAAAGGGACTCTTTGGAAGTGAACATTCCTCAGCACACTAATGTGGTCTTCAGAAGAGCAGAAGAGGTTAGTTATTTATTGATCTACAGTGTCTCCTTATATAAATAAAGTTAATACATGTTATCCTAAAAGTAATACAAAAAACCTGTGAGAGCCGGAACCCCACTAGAGTGCCTTGTTTTCCTGGGTCTTGCAAGTTTCCCACTTTCAACATGTTGCAGTCTTACCAATTTTCTGTTGCTCATTTTAGTGGAAAGATTTTGAATTTTCCTTCCCTGACAGGTTTCCGCCTTATACAGGTTCTGGCTTTCTCACTCGTTGAAACCCTTTGGAACACAGTTCCACTCTGAAACACATAGAGTTGTCATGAGTTGGAATCAATTCTATGGCAACTGGATTGATTTGTTTTTGTTCATTCTTAGTATAATGAACATTCTATAGCAGTGAAAAAGATTAAACTGCTTTTGTATGTAATAACATGGATGAACCTCACAATGTTGACCAAAAGAAGCAGTTACATAGAGTGAAAACTATATAGTCCCATTATACAAATTGAAAAACTGGCAAAATTTACATATATGGATGAAAATTAGAATAGTGAGTACCTTTGGGGTGTGTAATGGCAGAGAGGGACAAGAAGAAAGCCTCTGTAGGTGCTGGTAATGTTCTGTATCTTAAACTGTGTGGTGGTCACAGAGGTGTATTCACTTTGTAAAATTCCATCAACCTTTATAGGTATGTACTTCGAATTTATTTCCCTTTCTGTGTGACTATTAAAAACTCACTGCCATGGAGTTGATTCCAACTCATACTGATGCTACAGGACAAAGTAGAATAGCCACTTCGGGTTTCTAAGGCTGTAAATCTTTATGGAAGCAAACTGTCTTCTTTTTCCTGCAGAGTGCCTGGTGGGTTTGAACTGCCAACCATTTGGTTAGCAACCAAATGTATAACAGGAGCTCTGGTGAAGCAGCACTTCTATACTGTATATATAGCAGTGATGCAACACTGCATCTCCAGAGCTCCTGTGTGAATATTATATTATACTTAAATAAAAAAAGTTGGCCACAATTCCATTGTATATTTGAAACATATCCAGTTTATTACTATTTTTTTGGACTCTTTCACCTTTTAACTTCACTATATTTTTGCAAGAGTCAAAAAGTGCTTGCTTTGAATGTAATATTAAAAGATGAAGATGTGATTTCAGAATAAACACATTGGGCTTCTCTTATAACTTTAATATATAGTTAGAATCAGGGATAACTTACTTAAATAAATAACCTAGTGGCCTAAAATTTCAAGTTTTTAAAGTTATATGATGGTTGGGTATTAGTTAAAAAATCTTAATGAAACAGTGTTGATCTTAATGGCATACAATTTTGTATTCCTAAAATTGTCTGGGGACATATAATAGTTCTATGTTTATAGCTAAAGGCAGTTGAACTTTATAGTAAAAGTTTTTTAGTTGAGGTATTGTTTTAAATGATATTTCTGCAGATACCAAATAATCAATTTTGAAAGGCTCTGTTTGCAATAAAATTATATATATTTCTATTTTATATTGAGGTAGGACTTGCTGTAATATGGGAAATATTTCACAGACTTCAGTATGATGCAGTTGTGACCAGAACTAAGTGAGACTCCTAATTCTTCTTTTCTTCCATCTTTTCCAGTAGTTTGCTCTGACTTTATTTATATAAAGTATGCTTTAAAAGATGCTTTCCTTTACATATTGATTGTGAATTTAGTTTTCTTTTTTTGTTCTATTTAATTGAAATTCAAAGGTTTCATTTCATTTTGGTGTCAAACAAGTTAAACATTTTTCTGTTAAAATGCTTTGCTATATTTTTGTCATGTTTTTAAAATGAATGTATTTCTAGGGAGTGTCAGTGGAATATTTGGTGTTACATGATATTGATTCAATAATATCCCGTGTGGAAAATAATGCACACACTGAGGAAATCCAAGAAGATGAAGACGATGACATGGAGGGTCCAGATATGGGTAATAGGTTTTGTGATTTCCCCACCCCTGTTCTTGCCCAGCATGCATAAAGTCAGTGACATTTTCAGTGAGTTAACTTTCTCATAGAATGTATTATTGTTCAAGACTTGGTGAAGAAACCTGAAGGAATTATTTTGAATCACATTCTATCCGGTTGATGAGATGAAAAGATATAAAGATGCTATATTGCATTTAGTGTGATGTTGTTCATTGTTACGTCAGACTTCTAGCTAACACCACGTCTCTGCCTTTATCCTCCAAATCAGTTCTTTCAGTCCTGTTGACCTAGTCCATGTTTTAAAACTCCACCCAGAAGCCACAACATGGTATTTCATTTTAATAATCCTAATTAGGAAGTGAAATTATAATAAATATAACTTCACTTGTGGTTGTAAATAAATTTGATTATTAACAATATAGAAAGTAAATTTCAACATTTTAATACATTTTACCACAGTTATTTATCTCTTATTTTCTTTCTTTCCTGTCTTTTTAATGACTTTTTACTTTCTTCGCGTTTAATGTACTTGATGTTATCCCACAACTTGTCCTGTCTTTGGTCATTAGTGTTTAAAGTGTCAAATTTATTCTTGAGATGATCTCTAAATTCAGGGGATATACATACACAAGGTTGTGCTTTGGCTCTCATGGACTTGTTTTAGTTTCTTTTAGCTTCAACTTGAACTTGCATATAAGCAATTGATGGTCTGTTCCACAGTGTGTCTCTGTCCTTGTTCTGACTGATTATATTGAGCTTCTCCATCATCTATTTCCACAGATCTCAATTTGATTCCTGTGCATTCCATCTGGAAAAGTTCACCATTTATGTATATGGTGTATGGTCACCATTTATGTTGTTGAGAAAAGGTGTATCCAGTGAATCATTGGTCTTACAAAATTTTATCATGTGATCTTTGGCTTCATTTCTTGTCACTGAGGCCGTAATTTCTAACTACTGATGCTTCTTTGTTTCTCACTTTCTCATTCCAATCACCAGTCATTATCAATGCATCCTGATTACATGTTTTATCAGTTTCAAACTGTAAAAGTTGGTAAAAATCTTCAGTGTCTTCCTCTTTGGCATTAGTGGTTGGTATATAAATTTGAATAATTGTCATATCAACTGGTTTTCACTGTAGGTATATGGATATTATCCTGTCACTAGCAATGTTGGTACTTCAGGATAGATCTTGAAACATTCTATTTGACAATGAATGTGACACCATTTCTCTTCAATTTGTCATATGATTGTCTGATTCAGAATGGCCAATACATTTCAGCTCACTAGTGCCTAGGATATCGATCTTCAAGTATTCTGTTTCATTTTGACAACTTATGATTTTCCTAGGTTGATATTTTGTACATTTCATATTTTGTACATTCCACATTCTGATTATTAACAGATGTTTGCAGCTGTTTCTTCTCATGTTAGTCATGCCACATTGATATACAAAAGTATTGATAGCTTTACTCCATCCACGTCATTAAGGACAACTCTACTTTGAGGAGACAGCTCTTCCTTGTATTTTGAGTGTTTTCCACCATGAGGTGCTCATCCTCTGGCACTATATCAGACATTGTTCCACTGCTTTATAAGGTTTTCACTGGTCAGTTTTTTTAGGTGTAGATCATGAGATCCTTTCTCCTAGTCTGTCTTAGTCTGGAAAGTCCATTGAAACCTGTTCACCCTGGGTGACCATTCTAGTATGTGAATTACCTGTGGCATATCTTCCAGCATCACAGAAACATGCAAGACACCACAGCATTACAAACTGATAGACAAGTGGTAGTGCATGAAGAATAAACATTTTACATGAGGAAAGCAAAAGGTCATTGAAAAGACAGAAAACAAAAAAAAGATAAAAATGGATGTCAGAAGAGACTTTGAAACTTATTCTTGAATGTAGAGTAGCTAAAATGAATGGAAGAAATGATGATGTAAAAGAGCTGAACAGAAGATTTCAGAGGGCTGCTCAAGAAAAACAAAGTGTTATAATGAAATGTGAAAACTCTTGGAGTTAGAAAACCAAAAGGGAAGAATATGATTGTCATTTCTCAAGCTAAAAGAATTGAAAAAATAATTCAGGCCTCATGTTGTAATATTAAAGGATGCTGTGAGCAAAATATTGAATGACACAGGGAACATCAAAAGAAGAAGGAAGGAAGTACATAGAGTCATGTACTGAAAAGAGTTGGTTGACTTTCGACCATTTCAAGAGGTACCATATGACAAAAAACGATGGTATTGATGTAAGAAGTCCAAGCTGCACTGAAGGCATTGACAAAAAACAAGACTTCAGAAACTGATGGAATACCAATTGAGATATTTCAACAAACGGATCCAGCACTGCATAATCTCACTTGTCCACGGCAAGAAATTTGGAAGACAAGTACCTGGTCACCCAAAATGAAGAGATCCATATTTGTGCTCATTTCAAAGAAAGGTGATCCAACAGAATGTGGAAATTATCAAACAATATCATTAATATCACAGACAAATAAAATGTTGCTAAAGATAATTCAGAAATGGTTACAACAGTAAATCAAAGGGAGCGCTCCATAGCTGTTGCTACCACCCCGGCTGCCTCATTAATGTGCAAAGTAGTAAGATAGTAGACTTTTTACTATAGTAGTAAATGCAAAATGTTGGATAATGTGATAGTTCATAAGTGAGGAGTAAGTGTATGTAGAGAATTATATTTCAGTTCTTTGAATGCATCTTCTTTCCCTCCCTTTCTCCTTCCCTTTCTGTCATATTATTAGAGGATTTTGAACATACCATAGAATTGATGGGATAATAGAATGGTTCTCCTTGCACTTGCTACCTGGACCCAACCCCACTAATCCATGCTTAATCCTGCCCCATCCACTCCTGTCTCTTGTTATTTCATTTATTTATTTATATTGTGATTTGGGTGAAAATTTACAGGGCAAATTCACTTTCCATACAGTAGTTCATGACATTGACTACAATTTACCCCAATGCAACAGCTTCCCTCCCACTTCCTCCTGATAGTTACCTCTTTCCTGTGTCCACCCACCTATCCACCCGTATACCCATGTTTGCCTTCACTGACAATGCAGTACTGTATGTGCAAAAGGGTTCATCTTTGTTGTCGATACCTCCAGTGTACCTCTCAATGTCTTCCTTTTCCTCAGTGCCACCATGTTGATCATTCACGTTTGGTACATTGCCCTTATCTATACCCAAATCAATACATATCTCTACCTATGTAACACTATTCCCTACCCTACCTTCCCACCCCTGGTAACCAACAAAGACAATTTCCTTCTATAGATAAACCTTTCCTTCACTTTTACAAAAAGGGACTAATACAGTATCTGTCCTTCTGTGATTGATTTATTTTGCTCAGCATAATTTCCTCCAAGTTCATCCATGTTATGCAGTGTTTTGCAGATTCTGTGTTATTCTTTAGGGTTGCATAGTATTCCATTGTGTGTATGTATGTACCATAGTTTGGATATCCATTCCTCAGTTGATGGACATCTAGGTTGTTTCCATCTTTTGGCTATTGTAAATAGTGCTGCGATGAACATGGGTGTGCATATGTGTGTTCTTGTCATGGCTCTCACTTCTTTAGGATATATACCTAGTAATGGAATGGCTGGGTCAAATGGTGTTTCTAATTCCAACTTTCTAAGGAATCCATACTGCTTCCCACAGTGGTTGTACCATTTTACAGTCCCACCAGCAGTGTATGAGAGTCCCAATCTCTCCACAACCTCGCCAGCATTTGTTATTTTCTGTCTTGTTGAACTTTGCTACTAGTATTGGTCTCTTGTTATTTTTTAGCAAGTCCTAAACATGATATAATTTCATCCATAAATATTTCACTGTATATTTCAGAAATGTAAGAATTCTCCTTTTGAATATTAACACTGTTGATGCTATTATCACAAGAAAAAAAATTAACCATAGTTCTTTAATATCATCAAATATCCAGTCAGTGCTCAAGTTCCAATTGAATCATGCTCTTTCATGCTATTGTGCTTTTCCACATACTGTTCCCTTTGCTTTGTATGTTTCCATTACCACCCTTCTGTGCCTAGCTAAATTTTATTTGTCTTTTAATATTCAGCTAATGTCAGCTCTTCTGCAAAGGTTTTGTTGTAGACTGCAGTCAATGTCATGAGACAAAGTGTATGTGAACTGCTGTATGGAAAGTGAATCTTCTCTGTAAATCTTCACCCAAATCAAAATTAAAAAAAAAAAAAAGGTTAGGGTAGGCAGTGGCTAGATTATATGAGGCAAGAATTTTGGATTTCATCCAAATATAGACAAAGGTTTCAAATATCTGTGTTGTTGTTGGGTGCTGTTGAGCCAATTCAGACTCATAGTGACTGTATGGAACACAGTGGAAATCCATAGGGCTTCCAAGGCTGTAATCTTTACAAAAGCAGACTGCCACATCTCTTTCCAGCTGAGCTGCTCGTGGGTTTGCGACATCAACCTTTCAGTTAGCAGCCGAGTGTTTACCCACTGTGCCACCACAGTTTCTAAACATACATATATATAAAATCACCATCCATCCAGCTATGTGGTAAAAAATATATTTTGAATAGACAAAATATCTGTTGGAGGTTTGTATAGATTGTGTGGGGATACAGAAAGTACATCTAACCTGAGTGGCTCTCACTTCTTTAGGGTATATCCCTAGTAATGGAATGGCTGGGTCAAATGGTATTTCTAATTCCAAGTTTTGAAGGACTCACCATACTGCTTTCCAAAATGGTTGTACCATTTTACAGTCCCACCAGCAGTGTATGAGAGTCCCTATCTCTCCACGACCTCACCAGCATTTGTTATTTTCTGTCTTGTTGAACTTTGCTACTAGTGCTGGAGCAAGATGGTATCTCATTGTTGTTTTGATTTGCATCTCTCCAATAGCTAATGCTCGTGAGCATTTCTTCAT